GATATCAATATCTAGCTCAACATTTAATTTAACGGAAATAACGGGTTATTTCAATGCACATATAAGTTGTCCTTGAAGAAAAACGACAACGACCCTACCCTCAGCTCCCGGTCTTCACATGTTAGTACCCCTAATACCATACCTATGACCACAAGAAAGGTTTTCTTATGCATTATCAATTCTGTATTTCCGTACATGATACGAGTTTAAATGTCCAAGTAAACGTCAACTGTAGAAGTCAGTGCTTCTCGTAAAAGTCCACTAGGGCAGACGCTAACCACTGCTCCACGCATGCGACTGAGTGTATCTTCAAGTATCAGACGAGGGAGCTTGTCCCCTGCTTCTGATATCTTTAAAAGAGTTAAAAGAAACTCTATATGTTTCGTATCATTATACCCGCACTTTCTGAAGAAAGTTCGGGTATATTGTTCTTACTCATGTCCGTCTGTCCGTCCGTGTTTACGAGAGTGCATTTATTGGGTATTTTTCATGCCAAGATTGTACTTATTGGGTACTTTTTGCTTATTGGGTATACCCAATAAGAAGTGTCGCTGAATATGCTTAAAACACCCTAATTGGGTATTTGCAGGTTAGTACCCAACAAAACTTGGACACGACGATTTGTCCAAAAAAGTGTCCAAAAAAGTTGCTTTCACGGACGCACCGTGTTTTGTTGTTTCAGTTTTACATTCGGAACTCTAAATTCTCGAGAGTTCCGAAATTCAACTTCCGTTGATCCTGATCATAACAACGTTTGTTTTCATGGAAAAAAAATATGGCGACTAAGAAACACTTAATGTCAACAACATTGTCTGATTGACAAGAGAAGAGGTAAGTTTATTCGATTAATATTTATCTATTGCTGGGTTCTTGTTTAAGGAAAATTGATTTTAATGTAATTTTGAAAACAATTGTGCACAAAATTAAAATAGATATCGGAACAATTAATCCTAAGTTGCACTTGTTTGTATTTTGAATTTTCTCTGTCTTTTTAACTCGCTTGAGGGCGAGAAGTATTTAGTAAATGATCGTATATTGCTAGATAATCTTTAATAAATCGAAAGTGTTTATTATTTAATTTTATATCATAACCAACTAAGTATGTTCTGACAATGTATATTGGATAGGAAAATGAAAATTTTAACAATCGTGTGTTCATAAATCAGCTGTAAATTATCGGTTCATGTAGACAGTATTACAATCGCAAAGTGAGCTGAGATGATGATAAATAGGATAATTGACAACCACTAAATAATTGTATGTAAGTTTATCTCATCTGATATGTAACTTAAGAGATTCATTGTATTACTGAAAAACTTTCAGTCAAAACAGTGCTTCTTTCTGTCTTTGATTTTGACTGAGTGTCTGCTTTATTTTGATTTTTTTTAATTATTGTTTTTGTCATTTGTTTTAATTAATTTAAAACAATAGTGAAATTGATATAGGGCTACTAAAACTATTTCACATGATGGGTGTGTAATTAGCATTGCGCTACACCCGGGGCTTCCATTTTTGAGGATGGGGCTAGTGGTTTTCTGCACTGAGGAATCCCCTTGGGCTATTAGGAATTTTAAAATACACATGTAATACATGAAAAGCACCACCGGTATTTTCACTCTTTTTTTGCTATTAAATTCCCTAATATGGAAATATTCCAGACAGCATGCTCATATTATCCATAAATCTCCACAACTGCATCCATTTTGCAGTACAAGAGACTGATTTACTTAAAAACGATCTTTTATTTCCTAATTTGAATTCCCTCCTTTCCTTTGTTTAATATAACAATATTTGCTTTTACATACATGCCTCACAGATATCTCATTATTAAATTATATACATTTACTCAATCAGCTCAATGATAAGTGTCATGCAATTATGAAGCGTTTTTTTAAAGCCATATATGGCGTAACTGATCAAAAAAATATATTTTTGAAAAATACAAAATTAAGTAAAGAAATATAGTCAATACATTTAAATTAAAGCTTTTCATACAATTCGGAGCACGGAAAACACCTCGTTTTATCTAATAATACGATTTTATCTTCTCTGTAATGTGTTATTGAAATCTTTTGTATTTTCTTCCAAGTCGGAGAAAATTCCGAGAATCCAAATTAAATTTTGATATCTTTATAACGCAATTGACTTAGATTTTGTAATTTTCGGAAAATTTCTATCTTTATCATGTTTATATAAAGTAATGATACAAATAATAAGTTCTTATAATTTTAGTCTAATAATTTTCATTGTACATACGCCATATATGGCTTTAAATGATTCAAGATGAAAACAAAATGATTTTTGCTTCGTTTTAATTAGACGAACTAGTGAACAACCAGAAAAGGAATATTTAAAATCTTTTTTTCATTTTTTTAAATCATTAATTTATATATGATTAAATTTTACTAGCGAAAATTAAATTAAACTTTATTAAGAATCATTTGTAGTTAATACCCAGGAGCCCGTTTCATCAAAGGTCGTGCGCCCAGTCGTAGCGCTACGCCGGCGTAAAGTCGGGACTAGCACGAATATTTGCATTTCGTTAAAGAGCGTATCGTTACGCCTGACTAAATTTAGGCCAAAATTTTACGTCTACTCATGAGTAGGCGTAAGTTAGGGCGTAAAGTTAAAATAAGGCCTTTTTAATAATTTTAGCGAGTTATAAGGAAAAAAAGTAAGGTTCTAAGAAGAATTTAAAATACAAACAATGCATTTTTTTATTATACATATTATGAAGAAGGGGAGGGGGGGGGGGTGTTGTTACAACTACTTGGGGACGTAGTTGATTTGAGTAATAACGTACTCAAATAATATTTTGATAAATTTCTGCTAAGAAGAAAAGATTGTCTTATTAGAGATTTCTTACGTTTTGACAATGCATTCATACACATTTTATTGTGGTATTGTATGTCTAAGGTATTGTAAATCAATTTACATATATAACTGTATTTCTACACCCCGCTTGAAAAGCGGGACGGCACATGTATATGTACATGTATATACTATTTAGTAATCGGGATGTCCATCCGTCCATCTGTTACGCTTTGGGGGTACCCATCTCTATCCGCAACTCCTTTCATATCACTGATTGAAATTTGGTGAAATTTTCACAGAATCTTTATTATATATTGCCATTGTGCCTTATTGTACTTTTTGATCCGAGACATATTTTGGGTTTCCCACAGCAAAACATGGACACTGCCATTATATTTATATGAAAGGCGGGGGGATATCTTTTATTGAACTCATTGCTTACGGTATCTCTAGTTTCTTTTTCATTTACTAAAAAGAGACCCATTTAAATTGTCTATTTTGAAAAATATTTTCCAACAGCATATTTTCTGAAAAACAAAAATTACATTTAAAAAAAAAAAAAAAAAAAAAACCAAATAGTTTTTGTCATGTTTGGATCCAGAGGGGGTTGGAGAGAGGGTTCAGAATCTCCCGAATTTGCAGATTAATTAAGTAAACATTGAATGTACAGATTACTTAGTTAAGGACGAAAGTAATTACTGACAATGTATTTTCCTAGGTATCTGGGACAAGTGATGTTCCCGGCAAATCGTAGACCCCAACCCAGGGAGGGGGTTGGGGTCTCATAGACAATAAGAAATTTTTGAAAGTGGTAATAAATTATTGCTTTTATAATATCGATGTAAGACGGTGATAATTGCACAGTTAAGTTCAAGAGTGAATTATTCCTAATTTTTTTTCTCAGACAAATATTGATGCAGAAGACATCTTTAATTTTCATAATTTTGTTTAAAAGAGCACATCTTACATAGTATAAGATAATCTGAGCGCATATAAAACACATATAAGATGAAAATATACATGTTTTTGATTTCCTGCATTACTTACATTTTAATGAAAACAAAATAAAGAGTAGCTGTAACTAAATTTTAAAGACAGAGAACACACAAGCAGAGAGTTTTTGTAAGAATATCTTTGTAGTCATTTTTCCAAACTTCTCTCTCTCTCTTTCTCTCTTTCTCTCTCTCTCTCTCTCTCTCTCTCTCTCTCTCTCTGCGTACTTTTAAAATGGTACATCACATTTAATCTGCAGATAGTAAAAAATTTTTTTCTATAACTGAACAATTATGAATCAATTGAATTGACAAAAAATTAATAAATACAGAGAGGATTCTCTTACATGTACTATAGTAGTAAACGTGTAAAATTTATTTCTTGACTCAAAATGTGTTCATATGTAAACCGTTTGCATTTTGTTTTCATTATTTTTGCTTGCATATACATTTCTTATTAAAATTTTTAAATCTTATTCTGTCTCAAACTTAATTATTAGTATTTGTCAGTAGAATCAGTATTCATCGAATCATGAAATTTATTATCAAAGGCAAAGTTATTAACCTGTATCAATTTCGGGAAGAGGGGGTATGGCTGTAATTAAATTTCCAAAATGAATAGTTTTGCTTATTTCCGAAATACAAGTACATGTACTGTCCTTTTAATCCTTTCAATTTATTAGACTTTTATTATTGAAATATTGTAAAAAACTAAAATTTGTTTCTTAAAAGATGCATGTCTCTTACATAACACTATAAACCCATGCATGTTTCAATTAGTGCAAGTATTAATTTATCTATAACTTGTGTTATTCTGTACTTTGACGTGCTACAATTTATACATGTTTGTACGCTTTGGGCAATGTTTATGTTTTTGGGCCTGCGCAATGCAACGTTGTTAAGGACTTAGTCCTGTGACTAAGCGTATCTTTTACGACTAGACTTACGCCACTTGGTGAAACGCAAATTACGCCCAACTAAATTTTGGCATAATCCCCAGAAGTACTCCTAAGTTAAGGCTTAACTTTACGACTTTTGATGAAACAGGCCCCTGACTTTTTTCACGATGAACTTTTTTCAATGTTACTTTTTAATTTTTGCCTCTTTATTTGGGCTTGTCCCTTTTTACTCGGGGATAATAACTTTATTGCCACAAAACTGTGGATTAGTACTTGATTTCCTTTATTGCACAGCGATGACTATGATTTAATAGCACAAAAAGCTAATGGGTTTACGTATGTGAATTTATATGATTAATGCTTACTTGTGATTTTAGGATAACTGGAGATAATGATTCCTTTTTTCCATTGATATTGCATAAATATTTTCCTAAGTATTATGTTACAATAAATTGGTTTAGATTTTTTTTTTTTATGAAAGTAATCAATAATTACAATGGATATTAAAACCATAATCATGTTCATTGAGGATTTTCAATATGTAACAGGTCAAACAGGAACTTCAATTGTGAACATTGCAGAGAACACACCCATCAGAAGATGACCCTCAGAAATAGGACAATTGTAAGTAATCAGTAAAATGAACAGGAATACTTCATGCCAACCATAAGAATTTTAGAGACATTTTCGCTTCTTAAATTAAAAGAGATAGACTGAAGAACTTGTATATACTACATAACTACTAGGTAACCAACCTTTAACTGCAAGAAAGCTTTTGGTATGTGCAATACAGCTACATAAAACCTCTTTAGTATTCATGTTAAGTTTGAGAAAGTCCCTTAGTATATTTTCTAGTGTTTGCCAACATTTTCGTGCACACTGTTTGCTTGTTTGTACTATCATTTTATTTTAAATTCTTCAGATGCCCTTTACCTTTGCCAGTTTAGAATCATTTGTTTTAAGGGCATCTGAGGGTTGGTTCCAGAACTTAATTAATTGTAAAGTAAATACTGGGGTACTATACGGTCATAGGTTACGTTAATACATGTATAACATTTTGTTCTGATAGAGTTGGCATGCAGGAAAAGAAACAATACTAGATATCACTTCAAAGGAATAAAACAGCTTCATCTTATAGGTGTATTTTATTTAAGGATAACTACTTCATGTCTGATGTGCTGAAAGTTATTCATAACCTGTTTGACTGTAATTTTTCATATTTTCAACTTCTATCCAGCTTAGTCAATTTCAATTAAATTTTGTGCACAGGAAGGGGGGATGGAGTGTCAAGTGTGTCTCTGTCCCTGTCAATATAATTTCAAAGCAGTTAGTAAGGTTTGGGTCAATTTTAAATCCTCTTTAGCAGAACCATTGGGCTAAAAACAATACTAATGTGAAAGCTTTATCATTAAGTGTAGAGATGTTTTTGAAGATTATGTACCCCTAATGTACTGATAGTGTTACATTAGAAGTCTAAAATTTGCTAGGAATAGGTGTAAAATCTTTTTTAAAATCTTCTTCTTAACAATCAGAAACTAACATACTGTCTAATTAATATGCAACATCGTTTTGTGTGTTGAATGATGATTCCATTTTGATAAAATTATGGCGGATGGGGGGTAGGATGAAGATGCAGTTAGACATAGAAGAAAAAAAAAGAGTTGATAAAATTTAATTGTTTTTCCATTTTATTTATCAATACATATTTCTGAATAAGAAATATACTTCTACTTTTTGGTTGGGTTTGATCAACATAAAGGGTGATCTTGCTGTAGTCAAGAAAAACATGTTTTATACGGCAAAGAAATGCCTTTATCTAATTGCAGAATGAATAAAATGAACAGAGCCAGAACTGAAGGAGATGCATGAAATGAGGAATATTTCAAAGATTGCCTGAGCATAACCACTGCTACTGGATAAACATATGGCAATATAAAAGAGCAGGGTCAATGGAGGTATCATACAGTATAGGCCATGAGAGACCCTGAAGAAGAAAGTATTGAACAGAAACAAAAATAAAACCATTTTGACATTTATTGAAATATAGGATCAAAGTCTTACATGTAAAATTTGGGCATGTAATGACTTTTCTCTAGCTCTAAGACTTATAACAGTGATGATTTGATTTAATATCTTTATCCCGATTTGTCGAAAAGATTTGGATATAGTGCATCAATTATTTTAAAGTTTTGATACAACGAATTCATGCATTATACTTGTAACTGAGTTTTCTGGTGCGACACTCTTTTATCGGCTTCAAAACTAAGTTTGTGATTTCCAAACCAGATTAATGAGATCATGTAATATCTTTTAACATCGGTGACTATTTAATCCATTCTTTTACATCTCAGAAGTATTTTTATTATTACAGGGAAAATATGCATTGTACACGTATCTGTAATAAACAGGATTATAGAAATTTTCCATATAATACAACACAATCTTAGCAACTGAAGGCAAATATTTTATTAAGGGTGTGATCTATTTATCAATATGGTTTTCAGTTTCTTGATCTACCTGTAATGACTTGCTCCAAGTTCCAATATTTAAATTTTAATTTTGCAAACATGGTTATAAAATTCTTTAAAAGCCAAATAGTTTAGGCACAAAATGCTTATATATTTCCTATCATTTGTAAAGTGTACACTGAATGAGATGTGGAATGTTAGAATTAAAGTATTAAATATGTTTTGGACTTATGTATGCTTATGCAGATAAATTTGAATTCAACTAGGGAAGGTAAATGTCATACTTATTGGGTTTGCAATCTAATGCTAGAGTATAAATATTCAAGACAAATTTGACAATTTTAATGAAGGGTATAAGTAACCCAAGAAGAATTGGACAGGTAAACATCACCTGTTGGGTTTTATTCTAATGTTGGATTGTAATATCCAAGAAGAGCTGAACCAATGTCCAATACCTATTGGGTTTTCTATCTTATGAAAAAAAAATTGAGTAACCCAAGAAGAATGCCCAATACCTTTTAGTTTATATACTATTGAAGGGATGAAGATATCCAAGAGGAATTGGACAGGTGTCCATTACATGTTGGGTAGTATTCTGATGAGGGGATTCTCAAGAAACCCAAGAATTAGACAAGTGTCCATTGCCTGTTGGGTGGGATGTAGATATCCAAGAGGAGTTGGACAGATGTCCATTACCTGTTGGATGGTATTCTGATAAAACAATTCAAGAAACCCAAGAAGAATTGGACAAGTGTCCATTACCTGTTGGGTGAGATGTAGATATCCAAGAGGAGTTGGACAGGTGTCCATTACCTGTTGGGTTGTATTTTGATGATGCAATTCAAGAAACCCAAGAATTAGACAAGTGTCCATTGCCTGTTGGGTGGGATGTAGATATCCAAGAGAAGTTGGACGGATGTCCATTACCTGTTGGGTGATATTCTGATGAAACAATTCAAGAAACCCAAGAAGAATTGGACAAGTGTCCATTACCTGTTGGGTGGGATGTAGATATCCAAGAGGAGTTGGACAGGTGTCCATTACCTGTTGGGTTGTATTTTGATGAGGAGATTCAAGAAACCCAAATAGAATTGGACAATGTACACATGTTCAATTGTTCTTGGGTAGTTAAATCCCTTCGTCAAAATACAACCCAACAGGTTTAGGACACCTGTCCAATGCCTGTTGGATACCTTCATTCTGTCCAACATGTAATGGGCATTTGCTTATTATTAATTAGTCATGACTCAAAAAGGTTTCTCCTTAAATACTTAATTTTGTTATTCAAGAAAGGTTGAACAGAGTCTGAGATGTGTTGAGTTGTGTTTTCACAATTCAGTTTTTTTGCACTTAGGTATTCATATATTTTAATATTAGTTATTTTGAAATATACAGGTGTATATCCTTATTGCTAAGAAGAAATTAGTTAGGTGTTACAACAAAACAGCTATATCACAGAAATTGACAAAAATATGGGTTCAAAACCAAAAATTTTCAGTCTTGTCTGAATTTACCAGCAAATATTAAATATATAATAAATTTGAAATGAATAAAAAACAATAAGAAAAAACCCAATAAAATACGGACACGAGGATTAATATCCAATAAGATTTGAACAGTAACTACCCAAATAATGCTCTCTCGTGTGTACACTTTTTTTGTATCCAATAAGCAGTATCCAATAGGACTTGGACTTGATGTACCCAATATATAACCAAATGTGTGTCTGTCCGTCCGTCCGTCCGTCTGTCACACTTTTCTTCCCTGAACCCCTCCTACATTTTACACAGTACATGTAGCTAAATCATCTTTTGGGAGATGGTTGGTGGGGTCATGTAGATGTGCAGTAAGGTTTTGGAATTATGATTTTGTGCCAGGGGGGTCAAATGGGGGTCGAAAAATGACGTTTTTTTATGCAAAAAGCCCATTCTTCCCTGAATTCCTCTTAAATTTTACTCAGCAGCCTTATCAGCCTTTGGGAGATGGTTGTTGGTGTCATGTAGATCTGCAGTAAGGTTTCTGAATTTTAATTTTGCCCCAGGGGGTCAAATGGGGGTCGAAAAATGACGTTTTTTATGCAAAAAAACCCTTCTTCTTGAACTCCTATTACATTTTACTCAGCAGCCTAATCAGCTTTTGGGAGATGGTTGTTGGGGTCATGTAGATGTGCAGTAAGGGTTCTGAATTTTGATTTTGCCCCAGGGGGTCAAATGGGGTTCGAAAAATGACGTTTTTTATGCTAAAGATTCCTTCTTCCTTGAACCCCTCTTACATTTTACTCAGCAGCCTAATCAGCTTTTGGGAGATTGTTGGTGGTGTCATGTAGATGTGCAGTAAGGTTTCTGAATTTTGATTTTGCCCTGGGGGGTCAAATGGGGTCCGAAAAATGATGTTTCTTTAGGCAAAAAGCCCCGTCTTCCCTGAACTCCTTCTACATTTTACACAGCAGCCTAATCAGCTTTTGGGAAATGGTTGGTGGTGTCATGTAGATGTGCAGTAAGGTTTCTGAATTTTGATTTTGCCCCGGGGGGTCAAATGGGGTTCGAAAAATGACGTTTCTTTAGGCAAAAAGCCCCGTCTTCCCTGAACTCCTTCTACATTTTACACAGCAGCCTAATCAGCTTTTGGGAAATGGTTGGTGGGGTCGTGTAGATGTGTAGTAAGGTTTTGGAATTTAGATTTTGCCCCGGGGATCAAATGGGGGTTCGAAAAATGACGTTTTTTATGCATAAAGCCCCGTCTTCCCTAAACTCCTACTTCATTTTACACAGTGGCCTAATCCTCTTTTGGGAGAGTTCACTCTTTTGAAATTTTGGTAAAACATCAAGGTCAAGGGGTAAAAAATCATAGCATGTTGGGAACATCTTGTTATGGGTAATGTACACTTGAAATGTGAAAGTCGTATCTCTACTATATGAAAAGGAAATACAACATTATTGAAAAGTAAGTTAAACTTCAAGGTCAAAATCACAGAGTCATGATACATTTGGAAAGGTCTTATCACAGGTAATATGAATGCCCTTTCATTCTTTCAAAATGATCAATTTAAAACAATTAATTTGTTTATGACAGTAGGTCAAACTTCAAGGTCATGGGTAATAAAAATCAAAGTGTATTTAGAATGGTATTGTCCCAGTTAAATACTAATACACATGTTTAATATAAAAGTCCTGTCTTTTCTCATTCAAAATATATGAACATGATGACCAAGGTTAAATTCATTGTGACAGATGGACAGACTGACAAACAAATGAGATTTTATGTCCCCTACCTTTAGCAAAAATGGGGGACAATAAATGTCCTTGCTGTTCTTGAGAAGAAGATTTATGTTGGAAAAAGTCCCCTGCATATTTACATGTAAATTGGTTGAAATTGGCCCAGTGGATCTTAAGAATAAGAATGTGAAAAGTTTGCAGACAAACAGATGGACGACAGAAAACATTACATTACAGAAAAGAGTATGCTTGTAAATAGTCAATCAAGGTGCTTTGGGTAGCAAAATAAAGCTAAACTGATATATCTAATACATCCGCAGAGCTTATATTTTAATATGCACAACCTTTTCAACTCTTATAATAATTATTTTTTTAAAACATTTATATCACCATGTCTGATTCATGGGAGAACTAGATATATGTCCAGAAGTATATCTGTTGAATATAAAATATGTACATGTATACTGTGTTTTTTTTTTAGTAATTTGTTTGTTTGTTTGTTGTGACAGCAACTGTTATGGCAGCTTTTGGCAAAGGTTGAAGTTTCTCAAATGTAGGTCAAACTCCAAGGTCAAGAGCAGAGGGTCAAAATTGTTGGTATCATAGGGAAAGTCTTGTCACAAGGAATACATATGTGAATTAAGAGAAAAATCCCTAGTACTTCCTCACCTGTTCAAAAGTTATTTCCAAGGTTAAAGTTAAATTGGGTTCAACTCTAGGGTCAAGGTCAAAAATATTTATACCTGTTGAAAGTTCACAATGATTACACATGTTAGACCACGAAAGTCCTAGCACCACTTGTTCAAAACTTAGGCCAAGTTTAAGGTATTTTTCTTGTAAAAATGGGTCAAACTCCAAGGTCAAGAGATCAAGAGGTCAAAATTGGTGGTACCCATTAAGAGGTTTTGCCAAAAGAAAATTACCTATGAAATGTGGAAGCCATGCGTATAGCCCAATCCACTTAAAACTTATGGGCAAGGTTAAAGTTTCTGTGGACAGACAAACAGACATAAACACAGGAAACAAAATATGTATATATAGTCAAATGGAAAAAATTTCTATTATGGAGTCATAAGATCAATTGTCATTTCAGGAACAGGGGGTCAGTGGTTAAGGAGATCAGACACCCCCCCCCCTGGAATTTGCAGCTATTTAAATAAGAACATTTACTGAAGAGAATAAAAATGACTTTGGACATGCTCCCCCTTAGAAAACAGGGACCCCACCATCATTGTTTTTATTATTTTTTTTTATTTGCTTCTCAGGAAATCTTGGGCTGGATTTTTTTTGACTGAGGTGTGACCCCCCCCCCTTTTCCGAAAAAAAATCCTGGATCTGCGCCTGTATATACTGAATGTCCGCAACGGGAGATAACTTGACAATGTGAAATTTGTCGACTGTGGCATGCGATGATCTTTGACCCTTTTTGAACTTCAACCTAACTATTTGCATTTATTTATTTTTATGCAATCTATACTAAATCTTGTACTTACCGAATGTCATAGGTCCTGACAACGAATTCATGAAATATAATCCAATTAAAACACAAATGATGTTAACTGACCACACTGCATCGTCAGCATACATGTGCTAAATAATCTCATTCGGCAAACCTTTGCTGATTCCGTCGCCTTCATTAGATAAAGTATGAATCGGCCGAGGTGTGCCGAGTGGTGATATCTAAAAATATGATAATGGGTGACGCAAACCCAATATGAATGTAGAAAATATTGTGGTTTCATCAATATTCGTTGAGCACAAATTTTCGAGGATTTCGTTGTTCAGCAGATCCACGAAATTTAATGTTCATTGAATTAAGAAATATGTTATTCATTTGTATAGGCATTGTTTTTGTCCACGAAATTACGTATCCTCGAAAACGTCTGTTTTACAAAATCCACGAAAACTGATGCCAACGAAAGTCTATGAAACCACAGTAAAATGTTCACACGTATATCTGTTAAGTACAAGAACAAATTTCAAACTACGAGGGGTGATCAAAAAG